TAGGTCCGCCCCTGCTCAAACGTCATTTCCGAAATTATATTGAGTATATTATTGTTATTGTTGAGATAAAAGTATCAAATCATAACATACCATAATTCGTGTATCTAAATGAAAATTTATTAACAAGCTTTTAGTTACTATATATCTATGATATATGAACTCATTCTAGCTATATAGTATATAGTTTCTTATATTCCCTTCTTACATTATTTTTTGGTGTTTTTGGGGTCCCAAGACATATAAGAGAAACAAAGGTAAAAAAGAAAAAAAAAACAGCCTTTTCTTTTCTATTATTTCTGTCTATTTCATTGTCCCTCCACTACTGAAACCATGGGGACCCAAAAAGATGTAAAATAAAAGAAGAAGAAACACTGCAACTGTAAAAAATCTACAGTGTCTGTTTGACCTCATATAGTTCAATTAACATATAGTTCAAACGTCGCTATTTTTTTTTTCTATCAGGTTTAATTTAATTGTATTAGCTAGCTGGTATGTAATCGGTAAGGCTATAGTTTGATGGAAAGTTGGTAACTTGTTAGGAGTTGGTTACATTTCAGCCAACAAGTTAAAAATTTAGAACAATTCAAAACACTCTGAACTTGACGCAAAATATTAGTTTCTACTATTTGATTAACTAAACTTAGATATATCTTCGATCTGTCACATGACATAGCAAGTGGTCTCAAACTCATGTAGGAGCATGAGACTCTTAATAAATAGTCGAGAGAAGTATTGAAACACCTCTAAACTTGGTGAGAATTTAGAAGTATATTTCACTCATGTTGCAGGGGGTGTTATTTAAGTTCAGTTAGTCAAGTAAAAAAGCGTTTTTAATATTGTCAATAGTTTGGGATGAAACTTAGAATTTGTGTCGAGTTTAGTGGTGTTTTTAATACTTTTATCTAGAGTAAAATGATCAAAAATAAATCTAAATTATTGTTTTACACGAGTTTCATATATCAATTGTCCATTGTTCTCTTTACATATATATACTTAAATTATCACTTTCTTATATTAAAAAAATACATTTTGATGTTGAATTGGCTAAATAGTTATTCCTAATCGACAATAGATATGTGTATGCCAACTCAACATCGAAGTGTATTTTTTGTTTAGTTACTTCTGAGCCAACTAGTTAAAGTTAAAGAGATAATTATGGTTAAAAACATAATGAAGTAAAAAAAAATTGTGAGTTTGTACTTAGACTATTAAGTGTCCATAGTGTCCATGTTTTCTATTTAAATTATCACCAAGTATTTATTAAAACACTTTAAGTAGTTATGATATGTAGTTTACACTCTCTGTTTTTGTTTTAAAATGGTATCAAATGGCCTTTCACGCGAATTATTTAAGAGATAATGGTCAAAAATATTTTATTTCAAAAATTATGTTTAGCCGTAAAATTCAAAGTTCAATTTGAAATTGAATTCTAGAATTTGAAATTATCAACAAGTTTTTTTTTCACTTCAAATTATTCATGAAAATTCAAAAATAATTTTAATTATTTGTTTTTTTTGCAATTTTCATGATTAAACGGATTCTTAATTCATTGTCTATCTTTTTCTTGAAATTAAATCTTACTTATATATAACCTGTAAATTCACAATAATGGCTGCTACTTCTAACCAAACTACCAAAGGGTAAATTAACCTTTACCATTTTACCATTACCCTTTCCTTGTATTGGTGTAAGCCCCACCCACCTCCACCTTAAGTTTTATGTCATTTTACAATAAATGGTAGAATCAAAATTTTCACAAAGATGGTGCATGTCAAAATATAAAGAATTGAATTTACAAAGAAGTTAATCGATGTATATATATAAGAAAAAAATTACCTAGCTACACACATACGTGAATCCACGTCCACCACTGCTTACAATAAATCTTCATTTTTACCTATAAGAGATTTGAAAAATCATTTTTTAAAAAAAATTTGTAAGTAGTCTACACTGTTGAGCTCGTAATCTTTTAGGACGTAAAATTAGATAGTATTAATTTATATAATCATGCATAAGTAGTTAACTTTTTCCACGTGAAATAAAATAATAATTACTATGAATATAAGACCAAACTTATGTAATTCCAAAAAAAAAAAAAAAAAAAGAGCTGGTGGATGGTCACTTTTTGTGTTGGTTAATTAGAAAACATCATATTTTAGCTTTATCCAACAGTCAAAAGTCAAATGTTTCAAACAAATAATAATGCAATTCATTTTCAACGTAAAAGGTTTGAAAACTTAAAAATTGTAAAGCTCTAACTTTAGATATGGAGGGGATTGTAAGAGTAATATATAGAATAGAACAAAAAGGAGGAACAATATGTCAACTAAATAAAATAAAACACTAATTAGAAGAAACAATTAATTTATTTTTGCAATTTAAGAAATACAAAGTATTAATGTGCATCATAAGATCATTTATAAGGTAATAACATGTAAATCTCTGTGATAAACATTAATTGATATCCTGATAAAAAAGTTAATGGTTATGGTACGTCAAAGTAAACTAATTGTGTAAATAATCCTAATATTATCAGTGTATCTGACTTAAATTTCATTAAAATTATACAGGTTAAGTTATGAATATAAACAATGTCATGATATTTTTACACAATCAATATAATTAAATTTGATTTATCAAGTTATTTATCGTTTATTCTAGGTTACAAATAAGTATCAGTATTAAATAAAAATACATGTCACTACCTTTTAATTTATCCGTCATAAAATTAAACTCAATTTTCATAAACTCTGTAAATTACTTTATTATGAATAAAGAACATCAAGAGTAATATAATACAAGTTTTAATTGAAAAGAAATGGCCGATAAAGCATAAATGATAGATAAAAATGAAAGGTTCTATAGTTTTTGTTCGTACCAATATCCGAATAAATTTTCATTCATATTATTGATCAAGTTCCATATTTAGTGATAATTTTTTCTTTAACAAAGACGATATTATATTTGAGATTCAAACTCGAAAACTTTGTAGGTGCAAAAGAAGTCATTATATTGCATGATGTGTACAAAAGGAATAATTTCCCACGTTTAAAAAGCTGAGAAAACGAAAGGTGTAAACAAAGAATATGGAAAGTCTAAGAAAAGGAATTGCTTTTATTTTTTATATACTAAAGTGTTAATGTACAACTTTGATTTATATATGTGTTCATTATTCTACTAATCAGAAGTCAAACATGTTGAATATTTTTAAGTGCTTTGTCTGATTAAAAAAAATAAAAGTCAAAATTAATCTATTGTTATTTTCAATTTTTACTCTAATATGAACACTAACATAATCACGTTATCCACGTATAAACTTTATCTTTAAGGGGGGTGCAGGTCGGTTTTGTTGGAATTTTTTCATTTACCAAATTAAATCAAATTAATTATGTTATTTTTTAAAAGAATTGATAAACCAAATCAAATTTATAGAAGTCAATTTGTTTTATTTCAATTTTTATGGTTTTAGTTAAGCCTTTTGGGGTTCTTTTGTCGCGTTTTCAAAGACACCTCTCTTTTTAAAGAGGATTTGTGGCATGTCAAGCCTCGATAAAGTTCGATGATTTACATGGAATCTCTACAACATAAGAACACATAACTAATGCTTTCAACTATTTCTTACGTTTTAGTTAGATAGAAAAACAATATAGTGCTTCAATTCTTGTGAAAATAAAAGGATATGAAATAAGTCATGATATTATGCTAAAATATAATGTTATCGACAATAAAGATAATAAAGAACTCATAAAATAAATACTGCTTTCTCTGGATCACTTTGTTTGTCACATTTTTTTGTGGCTACCATACTCTTATTTATTATTTTTAATTATTTAAAATGTTAATCTCTCTTCAATAAACACCTCCTCAATTAATAAAAAGAAAATTAATCTAAGCAATTATACTATTGAAGTATGTCTATGTATTCTTCACTTAGGTTTTCTAAGTTAATTAGTCAATAATTATTAATTCTAAGAGTGGTTATTACTAAGAGCAAAATGAAAAGAATGTACTCATTATATATATATATATATATATATATATATATATATATATATATATATATATTAAATGACAAATATTTTGGTAAAGACAACAAATAAAGTGGTCCGAAGGGTTAATAAATGATAATGGAAATGCATATGGTTAGATTTGAGCTTTATTTGAGTTATCAAGTATTTATATACTAATAAAATTCCATGGTTTATCTTTTAAATGAGATAATCTTTATTTTTTGTTCTTTAACAATTGAATCTAATCGAATTTTATGCATAGTAAGACATAAGTTCTTTAAAAACTAGAGTTATATCTATGTATAATCTATAAAACATTATAATACAAAAATATAAACTTATAGCGAAAGACATTAAGAGTTGGTCTTACTTTTGTTTGAATTGTGGTATCCCTCTTAAATTTGGCAACATTAGACAAATTGTTATGTCTTGGTGGCTTGCTAAAACCAAGAATAAGATTCACAAAGCTTTCATACAATGTTTGCCTAACAATGTTATTGATTGGGAGATTTCATACAATGTTTGCCTAACGATGTTATTGATTGGGAGATTTCATACATGCTCTTTAAGTTAATAATGTTTTTTGTCAAATATGAGCAAAGAGATAGTTTACCTCATCCTTTTTCTTGCTCTGAAGGCTATGGTCTATGTCCTCCTCCATGTATGTTCATTTTTTGTCCAATTTTGCATTCTTTATTGTTTTAGAGAATTACAAACTTTCCCCTTTTTGTTAATCTTTAACTACTTTAACTAGTGTTGCTCGGACTCTTCAATAATGTCAAGAGATCAGAGAAGCATGTTTGTTCCTCCAAAAGTATTACATTTTTGGAGATTCTAACACAAGTGCGATAATATTTTTGAAGAGTCCAAGCAACATAGCTTATGAATCCCTTGTTTATAGTTCTAATGAAAATCAGCAAACTGTAAATGAATTTTCATTCAACCACTTGACATTCATCTGAGAAATGCAAATTGTTCTATTGTCTAAATTAATAAGAAAAAATTGAACAGTTGAAATACATTGATTAAGATTAAAATTGCTTGAATAAATGCAATCTCCAACAGCTACATTTCAATTGAGTCTACTCCTTTTTCGATTTGGAGAGAGCTTTCTTTCTCTGTCCGAGCATGTAACCGTACATGTGAGGACTGCCTGCAGTTCCGAATATAGCAAACTAATCAAAATCTAAAACGGAAAGCATCGTCATGCCATGTATCATTCTCGGATTTGTTTATGAGGAAAGGTATAATATAAGGTTGAACAAAAAGAGTGTGTATATTAGGATACTTGCCTGGGACATAGATACCGAGGGCAACAAGTCCTGCATAGTAGTAATCGAAAGAGAAGTTCCATTTGTTTGGCATCCTAAGAGAATACATATCCGATCCCTAGAAAAAGTAGTTTCGTTAGAAAATGCACCGTGCATATAAACAGGAAAATTAGAACTAGTGGCAAGGAGCAAAATTTCAATTACAAGAGCCGAATAAACTGAGTATATATATAGTTGCAGGAACTTATGCACAAGTGTCTCCGAGAGGCCCAAATAGAAACTATAGAGCAAGTTGGTTTTGATGTCAAGACAGGAGGGGAAGCCGGAAAAGGGTGCAATTTGGAAGGGCTATGGATACAGTAACGTTGTTGCTACTACACAAAAAATCATTTTGTGAAATCAAACAAGTAAAGTTATGATGGAAAATATTCAAAGGTGAAACACACTTCTCGAACTTTTCAGAAATTAATAATGTTTTTCCATATACGACTTATTTTGTAACTTTTATGAGTCGAAAGAGAGAGATGTTGTTTAAGTACCTTGATGTAAGGCAGAGCGCTATATATCAAACCAACTTCACTTGTGATGCCACTAGGATACAGCAACAAGAAGGTACTATACCTGCAAGAAGAAAATCGATATCTGAACTTTATCTTTGAAATGCAAATCAAACTAAATTGTATCTGCCAGAAAAGGTATTTGCCACTACTAGAGAAGACAAAATGGCTCGAATCTGGTGGATTGTGGATTCATAATAAAGGTTTGCATTTTAGTCACCATATATGATGCACAGGTGAAACCATCTCAATTATTCCCTCCGTTCCAATTTGTGCGACTTACTCTCCTTTTTAACCTGTATAAAAAAGAATGACTCTTTCCTTTCTTGACAACACTTCAATTCCAACTATCCACGTGGCACGTTTAAGGACACAAAACCAAAGGACAATTTGGTACATTCTACCTATCTTTAGTTTAAGAGCACAAGATTCATAAGTCTTTTTAACTTTCTTAAACTCCGTGCCAAGTCAAAACCAGACAAACAAATTGGAATGGCGGGAGTACTTTTTATTTTCTTTCCCATTTCTTGTTACTAATTTTACAATCCGTTCTTGATCATCTATAATGGCGTCGTTTGTCTTCTATATAGAATAGAAGAACATAACGATTAAGATATCATTTGATAATGCTCTTGTGAAAAATTTGTTGCTCTAACGAAATGAGTCTCATTTGTGTGGTTATTTGATAAGAAAAATAGGTTGGTCCATTTTAAATTGGTCAAAAGCAGGTTGAAGGATTTATTAACAACAGATTACCCCCAATCCATTTACCATGCAAACTCATTTACCTGGCTCACAAAGTTAAAAGAGTCATACCTTAGCCACAAGAGCCATGAAGGTGCAGAACCAAATGCCTCTTTTGTCCCAAAAAATGAATATCGAATGATCTGAATATTTAGTAGAGAGAATATGCCAATAATCAACATGTTGCTTAACCATGAATTGACACAAACTATCAACTTATTATTTAGATATGAATATCATCAGTTGAGCAGTCATGAAATGACATCATTAATAACCAAAATTGGCCCTTGTCACAGATAGAAGTTACTGGATAGCAAGAGAGTGAGAAAAATAGTTGTACAATCACTTTATGAGTTATGACATGCATCGTGCAATGACATGATGTTCCGTCTGATGTGCTCTCACAAACTTATTGAGGGAATCAGGGAAAATAAGTCTGAATTACATAATTCTCTGTTAAGTGTTAACTATATGGACTAAGGATAATTGAGGGGCTTCTTTATTAAGGCGACTCGGTGCATAAACATTCTGCGCTCACGCAGGGTCAGAGGAAGGGCTGCACCCCCAACTCCCAAGGGGTGTGATGTAGACAACCTACTCTAGTGCAAGCAATAGTGGCTGCTTCCACAGCTCGAACCGTGATGATATAGGTCACACGGAGACAACTTAACCGTTGCACCAAGGCTCCCTTGGAGAGGTATCTCTGTTGAATTACGATAATTAAGTGGAATACTTAGGAATTTAAAAAATAAATTCATCAAGCAAACCATTACCTAGTGTCTACTGATATCCCCTGGGGTAGAGTATTTCTGAATAATTGAACAATCATCCATTTTAACAGTCTCACAATGCACAAGGATGCTTTAGTTGAAGTTGATTATTTCAACATTCATGTTGGCCCTTACCAATACAGAAAGGAAAAGCAAAAGATAAGGAAAGCTAAGCTAGCTTATCTATAAAAGAACAGTCTAATTTTGTAATATCATCGAGTACTAAATACATTAAGCTGCCCCCACAAAACACTCTACAACTTTTGAAACTAAGAAGAGAATTCTGGTGAGAGTAATTGAGAAAAAATTCCTGTCCAGATACCTCTCTATCCTCTTCTCTGTTATCTTCCCATTTCTCTTATCTCTTTCTCTCTTGAAAAAACTCTTGATTGACACTCTAATTGAAGAGACTGATTCTTTAGCCCAGTAGGTCTCTCATTGAGAACAAATAGGACTTGCTTAAAAATAGTAATTAGTCTTTTGACAGGATCCTCAGGAAGGATGATTGGGATGGATAGATCCTACTTATCTCCCACCCTCCCTTCCCCACCAACCTTGAATTTGTTGCCTCAAATGGGCACATTTGAGTGTGGGTCTCATGGGAACCAACTCAGCCTCAGGTCTTTGCAGCTTCACTGGATTCCACAACATATACGGACGATAAAGGCTAATATCTATACGTTGTGTCGGTTGAAAGGTTAGTAGGTAGTAGAGCGCTATCTTGCCTATCCTTCCTTACTAGTAGTCGGAGTATTTCTCTTGTAGTTTCTTGTCTTTCGATTTTTGTTACTATCTGTTGTACTTCAATTATCGCACTATTTTGTTGTAGCAACTGCCTTTTTTTAAGAATGTTTTGTCATGCTTTCCTTAGTATCTGCTTTGATATGCTTTTCCTTGAGCCGAGGGTCTATCAGAAACAGACTCTCTAGCCTCTACCTCCCAAGGTAGGGGTAATGTTTGCGTACACTCTACCCTCCCCAGACCCACTTGTGAGATTACATTGGGTATGTTGTTGTTCTGTCGGTTGAAACATCACAACTGAATTAAAATGAAGGCAGAAGAAGTAATCACAATTTTGATTTCAGCACTCATTGCACATGTTCATGCTAATGATGGTCTAGTACATAGTAAAGCATTACTCATGATTGTTAGTCTAAGATATTGCAAGTAAAAAGAACCAACTTATGGACTAAGATTGAGGATATTTTATTGATCTTATAATCAATTTTTCCTAGAGATAGAAATAAATGGAAATGAAAAAAAAGCATGAGTTCTGAATAATCTATATTTTTTCTTTGTCTACCCAATAAAACTCACTGTGTTCGTTGTTACTTCCAAACTAAGAAGTACATCCATCATAATCATTTGAGAGCCAAATCATTGAGAAATCAATCTTAACCTAAAACTATACAAGACTAGTAAAGAATGTGGGGAAAATATTAATACACATGGTTAATTATGAAAAAGCGGAGTTGCTTGGCTATGCGTACAATAGCATTCTGACATTTAAAGAAGAAACAAAAACAATCTTTATTTAAAAGAAAAGATTAAATGGAGTCAAGGCACAGTAAACAATGTTTTCTTCATCTATATTCAGACGTATCTTTGATCTGTTTTAATTGTTATTATAATCACTGCAACAAGGTGTGGTGGAAAACAACTTCTCTACACTTGCAATTACTTGGTACCAGCATAAGTCTCAGATTTTTACTCAGTTGTTCCGTGTTCTTTTTTTTTTATTTTTCAACTAAATATAGTAAATAAAGTCTAGAAAAGATATCTAGCAAGAAGACTTTCTTTTACTAATAAATCAATGATCTGACCATTGCAGTTATTGTTAGGAGACTTGCAAACTCAAGTTACTATAAATAGACATCTTAACATAAACAAAATTTGAAGCTTACGAATAAGCAAGACTCACCTCCGTTATAGACCAGCTAATCACTAGAGAACTAACAAGAATATGAGACCGAAGCTGCATCAGCAAACGAATTCGTTAGTTAAAGTACTTTTAATAGTTTTATATTGTATGTAGAAATTCAAGGAAATTAATTAAGCTAACCTCAGGGAAACTCCATAGAATACCCCACGTTACATATAATCTTGAACTTATTTGTGGAAGAGTTGCTGATACTGGCGATCTTACCAAACCTAGTTAAGGGTGATAAAAAAGAATAGGTTATTACTATAGTTCAAAAACTTCTCCTTGAGCTTATTTAAACTTGGGATCTAGAAACTTACCCACTAAACCATGAAGTATCTGTTTCGCGATTCATGTGGAATAGAAAATTAACATGTTAGCATCTAATGATAATAACACCATGCAATAAACAATACTAAACCCACAGTTCTGCAACAACAATTATTTACCCAAAATCTGATTAAGAAATTCCATAAGCATATAATAAGTGAATGGAGTCAGCACAAACAACCAACTACATGTCGGTTACAGGCGGCTACACAGGGCAAGTTACATGTGAGTTGCAACTAGGACTTTTATCCAGCAACAGTAGCAGCACAAACCACTGAAACATTTTAAAACTATTTAAAAAATGACAACACACATTATTCATTAGATTTAAGTATTACTCCCTCCATTTCAATTTGTTTCAATTTGTTTGTCTTACTTTCTTTTTAGTCCATTTCAAAAAGAATGTTACTTTCCTTTTTTGGCAACTCTTTACTTCTAACTATCTACATGGCATGACCCAGGATTCTATTTTATCATCAATCCAATCCCCCTTTTTATTTTCATTTTTAAAAATGAATAGATCTTTTTACTGGTATGGTATGACTTAGATATCTCGTATTTTCCCCAAAAAAGGGATTCGATTGATCGGTTTTGGTATGAGATAGATGGTATCAATGGGATTGATAATCCAATCTTTCATCTTAGAACATATAAGACCATAAGATTAAAGGACATTTTGGTACATTCTACGTATCTTTAACGTAAGACCACAAGATTCAAAAACCTTTTTTACTTCTTAAACTCCGTGTCAAGTCAAAGCAAAACAAACAAATTGAAACAGAGGAGGTATGACATTGTTAGTCTTCAGAAGGAAAAGCATTATCATTAGATAAAGATCATACAGAAGTAGGTACCGTATTTAGAGTTTATGTTTCAACCAAGCTTAATTAGTTTAAAGGGCCTGTAATAAGCAAATTAGATTTGAAAAACCAATTTTTTTCAAGTAACAAGAGAAGCTACTTTTGGGAATTCCACAAAAAGAAAAAAGAAACTTTTACCAACACTACACTAAACTGCATGTTGTGGGGATGGAGAGGTAGAGTGTCAACAACTTTCAGCCATATTCCTTCAAAAAATTGCCACATTTGACCCAACATATATGAATGAAAATATATCTATTAGGTAAAATTTCCCAAAATAGATATTCCCTCATGTGTATTAAAAATTCAATCTTTTAAGCAAATTGAATAACAAATGTCTAGAATTTCATTTATTCATCAACCTCATATTCCAACTACCCAAAACTAATGAGAAAATAGCATTCCAGCCACCACCCCACCTCCACAAATATACCCATATATACAACATGATAATAACCGGGTTGAATTTTCATTAAGGGGCTCAAAATATGAAGCAATAAACACAAGAAAAAGTGTATGAGGTTTCAACATCAATTATATATTCATAAAAATACTAACTTGTAACCATGTATAAACAGTGTAATTTTCCATGGCTCTGCCCTTTACATAGCCATGGTGGGAGTTACCTCTAAAATGGCGGCGGTTTGAGCTAAAAGCAAAGGCTTCTCTACAGCATCATAGACATGTTCATGCCCAGACTCTTTCAGAGTTTTCACAGCAAGATAAAAAACTTGAAACCTGAAATTTCCAATTAAAGATCTCAGATCTACAGTTAATTAATAATGAAAAAAAAAACATAAAACAAATCAATCAATCAACTATGTTCAATCCCAAAAAAAGTTCATATCTCCAAGATACCTGACCCCCGTATTTTCAAGGTGAAACATAAATTTATGAGCAAAATTCATTAAAATTGCAACAAATGGTATAACTAAACCCATAATTTCAAAAATACAACAAGTTCAAGAACCTTAAATATTGAACCCATAAAGTTTAAATCTTGAATCCACCTTTACGATACAGGAAGATAGGAGAAAAAATAAAAGGTGGGTATTGAAGTTTACCATCCAAAAAAGACAATCCAATTGTAAAGTGTGAGGTAAATGCGTCTTAGAACTGATAAAACTCCAGCCATTGACAGACTCCAAAAAGCTTAAAACTTTGAAAAAAATATCCAAAATATCAAAAAACCCAATTGGGTATTTGAAGAAAGAAGTGTATTTATGAGAAATTAATCAGTGTTGGTGAGCAGATGAACTACTGAATCTGCTTCTCAACTGTCAACGCTTAGCTGACAAAATTATTCAAAACCGTGGAAAACTCCATTAATATTTAAGAGATTGGCAACTAAAACGACGTCGTAGTGAAGTGGTGCTGAAATGTTCCTTCTTGTTTAACCACGTGTCATGTTAGGAATGTTAGGTGGAGAATCATAACAAATCTTGTTGTCACCGACTCCGATCTGAGACTCGACTCGAGAACTGATCTCGAATATCTATTTTGGAACTTGACTCTCAAATTTTTATTTTAGAATTTGACTCTTGACTTCACACTCTATTCATCGATTCGAAATTTGTCTCTTGATCTCGAGGTCAGTTGCTAGGCCTCAGGGTTAGAACACATCTTAATGAATTGTATTTTAATTTCGAATGTAATGTAGATAAATAGTAATGTGCAATGTTTTTGCAAGTTTAGCATATTACTGGAGCTCTAATTGGATATTGAATTCTAAAGTATAGTACGATTTACTCAAAAAAAATATAGGTAAATATGGATAAATTCATCTTCTTTCCAACTCATTTTGCCACCCAATTCACTTTAATCTTATGAATTAAATATGAGTGGATTGAATTATTCTTCATTTATATTAACTTTGTTTTCACCTCTCCATCCACTCACTCCCCCCCACACCCACATTAACCACTACTAAACATGTCGTTTAGATTAATAGTTTCAAAGCATGTTATTAATATTTATATAAATTATAATTATGTTATTAAATATAAAAGTTATGTTGCGGCAAAATATAGAATACCTTTTTTTTCTTTGGTACAAATTAAAAGAGAAAATGTGTCATATATATGAGGCGGAGATAATAGTATTTTATTATTTAATACTCCTCTATCCCATTTTATATAGTATTATTTGATCGATCACAAAGTTTAAGAAGTGAATTTCAATGATCTTAGAAATGCGTAATTTTATTTTATTTTACTTTATGAGCAAACCTTCAAAGTAAAAGAAAAAAAATGTTTAATTTGACGGTTTGCTCTCAAGGTAGCGCCTTCAAATCTTATGTTGATTATTTAAGAAAGAGAGTATAGTGTTCAAAATTGATGATCCAAATCAAATTATAAATAAATATATAACTATAAGTATCTTATTAATTAGGAATAAAATGCAATTAAAGTCAATATGAGGAAGTATGCATTTTGGAATAAATTAAAAATTATGACACATAAATTTAGACGAATATGCAAGAAGGATTTTTCTCATATACTCAAATTGCAATAAACTTACTCTTATCAGTATATATTTTACATCAAATTAATAAATACATAACATATTTAAATTTACAAACACTTTTTAAAAAAATGATTGCCATATTTAAAAAAACAGTTGAGATGGTCCAAAATTTAAAGAGAATGCATGTGGCCTAATTAATAGAGGGGCAACAAAATGACACATCTTTCTTATTCAATTTTGTTTCTCCCTCTAAAGGTAGATATTAAATTAGACCAACCTCAATTTTACCAATAACTTCAAAAGTTTGATATTATAATTTTATTTTTCTCAGAAAAAGATACAACAAAATATCTAAATCAAATCTAGCTAAAATAGAAAAATTAACTCAACTTTGTCTAAATTTTACATAAAATCACTAGTTATAATTAAGTACAAGAAGAAGGTGCTACAATCACTAATGACTTCTTATGATTTCTGAGTAAAATATAATATTTTTTTCATTAAAAGAACAATTGAATAACTTTCTATCGTATTAGATAAAATTGAATGACTTTTTCGTTATAAAAAATAATTCGATTACTTTAGTGTAATAAAATAAAAGGCGAATATAAACAACATTCATGTGATTTTATTTGCTACGGCTATGACTTAATTTGGAGCTAAATTAACTCCCAACCATAAACCAAGAATTAATTCTTCTTTAATCTACTAATTAACAAGAAATCTTGAGCTTTTTCTTAATTCTTCTCTTTTTAGTTTTCTTGTGCTTTTCTCTCATGTTTGAAACTCTTCCTCTTTCCTAAATTTTTTTCGTTCTTTTGAAAACATAAAATAAAAAAGAGGAAGAGTTTCATTTATCATGTGAATTATTTAAAAAAGAAGAAGAAAAAAAAGATCAAGAATTGACAAGATGTTGCAAAGAGCTGCAAGCAATGCCTATTCATGGTGGGCTGCTAGCCACATTAGGACCAAACAATCCAAATGGCTTGAACAAAGCCTTCAAGGTATATTGACCTTGATAATCATTTTAATTTTAAATTGTGGTGTCAAGGTTAGCTAGTAGGCATCTCGAGTAATTTCATTGGGTTCTTATTATCTCGTACCAGTACATGTACCATGTAATTTTGTCCACCGTGGTTGGATGGATGGGAAGAAATGAGCTCCTCTTCATTTTATAATTTATTTATTTTTTGTTTGCATTGTATTGCTTTTGTCCCTCCATTTTAATTAAATTTAAAAACCAGGTAGAAAATATTATCAAAGGGTTCTAGATATATGCTAGATTGCACAATCTTATTACAACAACAATTATGTACTAGGTCTCAATTTCAAGCTAGTTGGGGTCGATTGAAAAATATTATCAAAGGGTTCATTTCAAAGCTATGTTGCTTGGACTTTTTAAAAATATTGTCGCATCCCTTGTCAAATCTTCTAGAAATGCACTATATTTGGAAGATCCGACACGCACCCGTTGAGAACAAAGAGTTCAAGCAACATAGTTTCGAAGTGGTCTATGGTAGTGATGTCAATCAAACGAGTCATTTTCCTTTTGGTATAATACATAAACATACATTCAAATTTGGCCTTAGCTGGTAAGTAAGCACTCCAACTTTGAGAGTGCATATCTAGACACCTCGGTCAACTTGATCTCAGCTGACGACCAAACACTCCAACTCGTCCCCACTGTGCTTGTGGACACCCAATGCTGACATGACACATAAGTTTTGGAGGTGTCTAGATGATCATTTTGTAAGTTGAGATATTCAACTGACACATTGGAGACGAGTAAAGGTGTTTAGATATGCATACTTAAAGTGGGAGTGTTTACTTGCCAGCTAAGGCGAAATTTTGAATGTCTACTTATGTATTATGCCTTTCTTTGTTTCCTGCATTTTCTTGCTTGTTGAATATGAAAAGCAATAACTCCAGTTGTATATACATATGGTGTTAACAGATATGCAAGGGAGAGTTGAAACTGTGATTAAGCTGATTGAAGAGGATGGAGATTCATTTGCCAAAAGGGCTGAAATGTACTACAAGAAAAGGCCAGAGCTGATAAACTTTGTGGAAGAATCCTATCGTGCCTATCGCGCATTGGCTGAACGATATGATCATCTGTCAAAGGAACTACAGACTGCCAACAATACAATTGCTACTATCTGCCCGGAACAAATTCAACTAGCAATGGAAGAGGAAGACGAATATGGCGCCCCAACTCCCAGAATGCCAAAGGATTTTACACAAATTCCACCAAATGGATCATCAAACATACCAAAGCCTCCTATAAAAGACTTAAAAGGTCTTATGTCAACTACCACAAAACAAAGACAAGGCAAGAAATTGACAGATGATGTCGCGAAATCTGGTTTGTCCAAAAACGAGGCTATTGAAGAGATCGACAAACTTCAGAAAGACATATTGGCCTTGCAAACTGTGAAAGAGTTCATAAGGAGTTCCTACAAGAATGGACTTGAAAGGTACAGAGGAATTGAAAACCAAATCATGGAAAAGCAACAAAAGATATGTACGTTGGAGGATGAATTTGGCGAGGGTCGGGTTATTGAGGATGCTGAGGCTTGCACTTTGATGGCTGAAGCAGCATTGCAATCATGTCAAGAAACATTAACTCATCTCCAGGAGAAACAAGATGTATATACACAAGAAGCGCAAGATGAGTTCAACAAAATTGACGATTCTTGTAAGAAACTTAAGTCCTTTAGGCATAAGTATCTTCCCGAGCAAATTGATGAACTGAAGGCTGATAGAGTTAAATTCCCGAACCAACAAGTTGGTAAGGAGATAGAGTCATTACAAGACAAGATTAAGGACCAAATGGACGCGAGCTCTAAAGGGTCTTTAACGATGTCACAATTGGCAGAGAAAATCGACGAGCTTGTGAATAAGGTGATCAGCCTAGAAACAGAAGTTGCATCTCAGACACTTTTGATTGACAGATTAAGAAGAGAAGCTAATGAACTACAAATACAAGTTCAGTCTTTGGAAGACGATAAGGCAGCTCAGACAGGCGATACCTACAACCTGAATATCAGGGTGACCGCGATAGAAGCAAAATTGGAAACTATTGAGAACATCAATAAAGATGTTGTAAACCAAGACAGTAGCCTACGAACTCACTTTGTTGAGGCTCGTGCTAATATAGACCATTTATCCGGTAAATTGAGTAGTGTCCAACCGGATGAGGAGCTCAATGGAACAGATTCATCTCCAAATGAAGTGACTATGAGACAAGATCCTGTGACACAAAAAGATCATCCTAGTTCAGGTGAAGGTCTCAAGAACTTAAGTACCATAACAGAAAAAGATAAAGAAGTTCGCAAAGAGCACGATTCCAGTCTAAGTAACAAAGGGGAATTTAAAAAACCTACAAAGAAGCACGTCACATTTCTGCAGCCAATAACAGCTGAAAAAGGCGATGAGAAAGTCTCAGCTCAATCTGGAACTAAAGTTTACGAGATGAAAATAGAGGAAGTTGCAGAGAAGGATGATGATCTTAATTGGCAACAGATGCTGCTGAGCGGTTTGGAGGATAAAGAAAACATTCTCTTAAATGACTATAAAACAATTCTCAAGGATTATAAGGAAGTTACAAAGAAGCTAAGTGATATGGAGAAGAGAGATAGAGAAATCGAGTCCGACCTCACACTTCAGATAAGAGAGTTTAAATATGCTATCACAAAGAGG